CTCAAACACAAATCCAAAATGACCGTTTAATCTTGCGTTCATAATTATCATTGTTCTGTCACGCAAAAAAAGTCACGCTCCCGTGAAGCGGCATGCCAGCGTGAGTCAAAGGCGCCTAACTCACTCGGTCCCTTTCCTTACCATTTTAACAGGTTTAACTCTTTTATATTGTTGTGGCTTGAAAAGAGAACAGTGCTAGTGCTAGTTAAGGGTTATTAGAATTGAGCCTTTCTCAAAATCTGTTCRGAAACGTGTTGGGAGAAAAATGAGCGAACTCAAATTAAACTAAGACGGCAAAGGCAACGAAACCTTCGAAAACAAAAGGTTTAATGAAGAGAACAACCGCTTTGCGCGTGGGTTACAGATCTTGTAAATTTCGTAGCACAAGTACAATTGGAAACCGTCCACCCTACGCCGGAGAAATTAAAAAACGCAGCTTTATTTCTGCGGTTAGGGCAACGAAAACGGATCGAGCTTTTCGAAAACGCTCTTCAAACCGGAGAAATGTGAAAAACGCCGGCTGTGCGTTTTGGTGTGGACGGAACACATTTTGAAAACGGAGCTGTTCGACAATGACGAAGTCACGATAATCACGTGATTTAACCTTGTCCGAGTTTCCCTCAAACACAAATCTAAAATGACCAGTTATTGTTGCTTTTCAGGAGTCATAATCGGGGTCCCCAATTATGGCTCCTGTGCGTTTTCAAATTTCTCCGGCGTAGTGTCGGCGGGGCCCAAAGTGTAACGTCGTTGCAAGACTAGAGCGCCGTCCGCACAACGCCGGAGAAATTTGAAAACGGCGTTTTCACTCCGAAAACGCATCAAAGTTTTTCGTCCACACTACGCTGGTGAAATTCGAAAACGCAACAATCACTGATCATGGTCATTTGGGATTTGTGTTTGAGGAAAACTTGGGCAGGGAAATCACATGAATATCGTGACGCCATCGTTTACGAACAGCTCCGTTCTCAAAATGTTTTTCGTCCTAAGGAAAACGCACAGCCGGCGTTTTCAAATTCCTCCGGTTTGAAGGGCGTTTACGAAAAGCCTCGTTATTTTATGACGGCTTATGTGAACGGTAGGCCTAAACGAGTACAAATAAAGCTGCTTGTTTTCAAATTTATCCGGCGTAATTGCTTGAGCCTTACCGGAAGTCTATAAAGTTCTCCAGGGGGAGACGGTAAGGTGTGTACGTTTGTTCATCTACGTCAGTCCTCTAGCGAGACCGTCAGCACATTGCAGTTTGGGTCAGCGGCAAAGTAAGTTGAGCTTGGAAAGGCTACACAGAACGTTACTTAAGCGTCCTAGAGAAATTAACCGAAATCATTTCTGAACTAAACTGTACTGTAAACTAAATAAACTGTAGGTTGGAAGAAAGCCGAAACAAATTGCCATAGTATAACTTAATCTTTCAGCCATAAATTTGTAAGGGTGGGGAGGAAGGTGCGGCTCG